AATTCAAGTTTATCTAATAAGATTAATTGCAAAAGTCAACAATCGAGTATTTGAGCATCGAAATTTTCAAATGCAAAATTTTTACCAGGTTTTACTATTCATACACGTTTGCATGTGCGTAATTTAGATGCCATATTTGCAATCATAACACGATGTGGGCGTAACTTTTTTATAGCGCAAATCGTTGTGTGAGCAAACTTACACTGTATTCGACATTTTTTGAAACTCTTTCGGTTGGAAAATTCCTAATATAGTAGGTATTTTAACCGTGTTAATAGAATATGTTAATTTTCAATCCGCTCATGCGTATAAATTTACTATTTACTCTAAAATGATTTATACACAAGTAAAGCGGAAAAGTCTCAAAATTATTTCTCATATAATATTCTTATACAAAAATTCTTTGTTAGCATGGTGTTTTTTGTTGCATACTGTCTCAAAATTTTTTATTGCTTAATAACGCATAAGCTCTGATAAAAGACCAACCCAAATTATTATATATTATTGAATCACGCTCTCTGTCTGGGTACCAAAATACATTTGTATAATTACGATTTGTACATATATACATACATATGTATGTATATTTGTATTAATATGCAACGCCGTTTTGTTTTTACAATAGAGCTTACCGAAGACGTGATTAACCGTGGCGCTTTATGAAAATTAAATTTTATAAATAGTTTTACCTTCCGAAAAGAAATTAAAAACAAAAAGCTACAGTTTCTTAACCCTGTTGTCCGCTTGTAAAGGCCATCAGCAGTTGTTAGCAATTTAATTAGTCTGAAAAAAATAACAACATGACGAAGTCTTTTAAATATGCTAAAATAAGCTGCAAACAGCAAAACAATTTCAACTATATACATTAATGAATTTCTGCAACGCTTAGTAGCACTAAAGAAAGACGGAAGGAAGCCAGATCAATGTTTTGCTCAAACCAAAATGAGCCAAATTCTTATTTAATGTCAAGAAATGGAGTAACACGCTTTTCAGGCTCGACCGTTCAAGTCGTCAAAATGTACACACATATATCGCCCTTAATTTACAATTTGAGGCGTCCAATACCTTAAACGCAATTTTTTGTTAGTAATTTGTTTATATTTTTTTTTCGTTCCATTACATTAGCATATTAGATTGTTGGTGTTGTATCTGTCCGTCGACTGTCGCTTACGATTACGGGTTAAATGTTTTACTTTTTCCAATCACGAGTAACACACTTTAATAAAAATAACTGCTGAAATTAAAGCATGCTTCTTGCTTGGTTGATTTTACATTTATATAGAATCACACATATGCATTTGTATGTAAATACGTAGATATGTTATGTATATTCATTACATACTGTGTTATACAATTATTCACGTTTGGTTCCATGCTTTTGAGTTTTGTTTATAAACAGCTGTTTTTAATAATTCAGCTGTTAGGTTAGAAATTACATTTCAAGCCGGTTAAAACCTGTTAAATTATGTATTCACCTAGATATTCACCACAAGCAGAGGTAGATTTTCTGTATATACACGAATTAGTCGACTTTATCGATCTGAACCGCCTATAACGGACCACCATAGCATAAGTTTCCATACAAACTGAACGATCAAGTACATTTTCTTGTATGGAAAACTTTTGTATTTGATTAGATATCTTCATATCGAAATTTGGCATGTATTATTATCTAAGGCAACGATGCAATCTCGGAAGAAATTCTTCTGATCGGACCACTATAGCATATAGCTGCCGTACAAACGGAACGATCGAATGTATGTCCTTGTATCGAAAACTTTTTTATTTGATAAGATATCTTCAACAAATTTGGCCTAGATTATTGTTCAAGGCAACGGTACAATCTCCGCAGAAAATGTTAAGTTCGAACTACTATAGCAAATAGGTGTCATACTAACAGACCGATCACAATCAAGATAAAGATTTTTTTATACCCTTTCATGATATAAGAAATGCAACTGTAAGGGGTATTATAGCTTCAGTATAGCCGAAGTGCAATATTCAAACACAGACGTACTGAATATCACGACTGACAAATATTTTGTTTCTTTTACAAATAACACTACTCAACAAATCTAAAGGAAAAATTTGCGACTGATGTGCTCTGTGGGTCTGTGGGGGTATTTGATTTTGTCTTCATTACGAATTTAAGTTAAAAAATTGTCCATCCCGTACAGCTATTTTTTTGTTATTTTAGTAAATGATGGTGGTTTGACCCTTACACCTCTTGACTACAACACAAAAAATCATATGTGTTAGGAAATTTTTACTATCATTTTCGCTTTTACCAACTCAAAATGACCAAGAAACAGTATCTAACATCACTATCGCAAAATTACTGTAAACTAGTGTAATTTAAATAATAAATAAATATAAACTACAAATCTAATATCGACGTCACATGTACTACATGTTCAAAAAAAATAAATAAGCATTTATTTTCCCCCGACGAATTAAATAAATAAGTGAAATCCACAAACCATAAACACGAAATTTTTGATATCTTCGTAATTCACCATATACTAATTAATGTCAATCCGGAAATCTTCACTTACTAACATGTTTAATGACAGATTAGTTTTCAATTCAAATTGGAAAAATGCCAAATGGGAGAGAAATACTTGTGCTCATCACCGAATAAAATCACAATGGCAAAAACAACAAAACAAAAACTGCTAAGACCGTATAGTATGTAGCGGAATCAATGAAATTCCGCTTGACTGCATCAGCCATTCAGATGTTTTGAAATATTTATTTTGCTGTTAACTTGCTGAGAATTGCTTTATTGCGTTTTACAATTCACATTCACTTGTCTCTATTGTTTCCTCTGCTATTTTCATTTCCCAGCGCAATCCCCAATCATTCAGTAAACGTTTTTTACACTACACGCTTATTAGTTATTGAATATTCTTATGCTTTTCCCCCAGTAATTCATTGAACAACCAGCTAGATTTGGCAACTGATTTGTAAAACTAATTATGTCCGTATTTGTACACACATACATACGACTTGATATGAGTTTATTTATAGCTGAATATATGTATGTATGTATATAAACTAATTTTTATGAACATAAGTACGTATGTATGTATACATTTGTTCCATAGGTAAAACAACAGCTCGTAATGGTCTCTTCTTGATAGTTTAATGTAATATATCAACTTTTAAGTCTTCAACTATTTATAATGAATATATAGACGCATCAGATGTTATAGCGAAAATCAGCCTAGTCAATATAGTAATATCACAGAAAGTTAGTTTCTAGAGTGTTTCAAGATATCTGACAAAAATTTAGCACAAGTTTGTATTTTCTTTATCATTGAACATTTATAACTACTAATCCGATCGAAGAAATATTAAATATAAAAAAATGACAGATATAAGGGGTTAGGTGTAGTAAAAATTATGAATCAATTTAAAATTTAAAATAATTTTTTTTTTGTGCCAGTAAATTATTTTATAAAAGTTAAAACATAGCCTCATTAAACAAGGTTTCGACTTGACTTGACAATATTAATTTTAAAAGTAATGGCTGTTTGTGTTGATCCAGTTCCAACCGACCAAGTTCCTTGCGGTGACCATCACTAATCCTTGAAGATTCATCCAAAATCAATCGGACAAAAAAGTGAGCTTAATTAAGGTTTCGTGAAGCAAAAAACGGCCTTATTTCAATATCTTTTGTTTTTCATATAAAAAATTAAATATATTAATCAAACTTTTTACTATTCCAATGATACATATATTACAAAGATTTTGTGAAATATTCAAAGGAAAATATTCAAATCTCGGTTATTAAGACGTCATCTGACGTCAAAGGTGGCTTTGCGTTGACAGCAGAACTTTTTACTGTATAATCAAAAGTAAAAAGAAAAAAATACATGCTTTAGTTAAGACCATAAACTAGGTATTGGACGATAGAAAAACAAAAAAGTAAAGTTTGTATTTATGGCAGACGTTTTTAAATGCAAGTTTTGGTGAAAATTTCTCGACGTTTCTTGTTTTTTAAATATATGTAATTGAATAAAACAAATCCTTCCTCGAAGACTTTGTAAATTATATTTAGACGACCTGTGTAAAAATTCATTAAGATCGGTTGAGTAGTTCGCGAGAAATCTTGACAACCGACTTTGAAAACACAGTTTCGAGAAAAATTCATTTAAAGTTTTAAGTGACTATATAGCTTTCATAGCTGGCTGGCTATAGCAGGCAGAAACCGTGAAGCCCACGTAACCCCTTAATAGATAATATAGTGTCTGATCGAGGTTTTTTTAAACCAAAAGTTAATTGTTTATAAAAATTTTAAATTCAAAAAACAAAATCATTCGATCAGAAACAAGTTTTCATGTTTTCCAAAAACAAACTATAAACTTCATTAAAATTTAATATTTATCGAATTTACTTCAACTTTTCAGGGAAATTTTTTAAGATATTTTATATTTTTACTTTAAGAAAATGCAAAAAAAATCGATTTTTTGAAAATTTTGTCGATTATAATTACTATTTTAGTTGTTTAGAGAAAACTATTTGTTTTTTCTTTTTATACCCTGAACAGGGTATATTAAGTTTGCCACGAAGTTCGTAACATCCAGAAGGAAACGTCGGAGACCCTGAGTCGGTTCATTCATCCGTCTATCTGAAATTTTGTACACGTCCTTTTCAGCCCAAGCAGCTGCTCGTTTTTCATTTATCGGCCTGTTGATATCGGATCACTTTAGCTGCCGTACAAACTAATCGATTAAAATTAAGTCCTTTTAAGAAAAACTTTTTTATTTGACAAGTTATCTTCATTTATATCCAATTATTATCGAAATTTGTCCAAGACAACGGCACAATCTCCGAACGTATTTTTCAGATGGAAAACTATAGCATATATCTGCCATACAAACTGACTGATCAAAATTAAGTTCTTGTATGAGAACTTTTTTATTTGTGAAGGGTATTATTACTTCGGTGCAAGCGAATTTAATATTTCTTTTTTTAAATTTTTTTGTTTCTTGGAAACGACATTATTTCATAAGTAAAATTCAGCATTTAGCTGTAATTTCATGCAAGTCAGAAAAAACGCACTTTTGCGTGAATTGTTATTGAAAAATAATTTTATTTAATGTACTTTAATAATCGATGATTCGTTTTAAAAAATTGGAGAGTCTCTTGATCCCGCAGCGAAATCTCTAGGAAGAACTTTCTGCTAAAAATTATCTCAAATCCAAAAACCAAAAAACGAAAATAATCCAAGGACTTGTCAAAATTTTAGTTTTCGATGAAAAGTCGGCTTCCCAAGAAGATAGTTTTTTGTTTTTTTTTTATTATTACCTGGTAAATATATCAAAAAGCGTTGTGTAAAAATTTCAAGTCGATCGGTTCTGAAGTTTCAGAAAATCGCTAAAGAATCACTATGACTGGGACATCTATAATTTAACCACTTCCAATGTCCACCAATTATTTAAATCTGTGACCCTGCGGATACTTTAATATTTTAGTAATATCTTGATATAGTTAGTCAAATTTTGCCACACAAACGCATTTGTGTGTGTGTATATAAAAATACCACCATACGTCACCACCGACGAATTAGCCGTGTGATTCGGTGTGATCTACTAAAACATCGTTTACAGCAACGTCGTCGTAGTTATTGTTTTTTTTTTACCTTTTATGTTTGCCATTTCTCACCTATCATTCGAGTATGCAAAATAGCTAATTTTAAACGATTGATTTTATCAGATATTTGCTCTCAAGCTGCTCGTTTTTGTGTTGTTCTTTACTGTTACCGCTTTTTGTGCTTTTCATTGTGCTCACGTGCTACCAACACAATTTGTCGCCGTTGCCAATTACGATTACTTGTATATACTTGTATACAAATACAAATTTACATTCAATTTTTTTTGCCCTGAGACTCTGTCACATTTGAACTTCCAATTTTCAATTAACCGTCAAGCAATTGATTTTTCACTCTTGTGCCTTGAGCACACACGTAGCCGTAGATGCAATACTACATATGTACATATGTAAATATGTTGGTATGTATATATAATATGATTGAATGTATGTATGAATGTATATACAGGGTTATTCAATAGCCGATGTAGGGGTTTAATGTGAATTTATAGCATCAGAAATATTTTGTTTAATTGTTGTTGTTGTTGATTGGCTATTGCTACTACTTTGGGAGCACAGACCACCGTTGTTGTGTTATTTAATTGACTTTTAATACTCTGCTTTTCACATCATAGCCGCCATATCAGCGCATTCACAACTCATTCAGTTGTTAACGTTTGCCTGCAGCGTGTTGTCGTAGAGCACAAGCGTTTTCAATAAATTCGGTGATCTCGCGCAACGCCGTTAACAAATTCTAGTACAAAATAGAAAATGAAAAGTTAAAAAAAAAAAATATTTTTTTTTAAGAAAAATTTAAAAAAAATGTAAACTAAAAATATTTCTTTGTAAGAAAAAAGTTAAAATAAAAATTAAAAACTTTTTTTTTCATAAAAAAATAAAATAAAAAAAAACTAAAAAATGTTTTAATGAAAAAATAAAATAAAATTTTAAATAATAAAAATTAAATATTTGTTTATAAATAAATGCAATGGCATTAAATAAAAAAAAATGTGTGTAAAATAAAATAGAATTGCATCAAAAATGCTTAGACAGCGCTTGTCATAGCAGTATTTGGTGTTTATGCATCGTTTATGCGAATAATTTTAGCAATTTCACGCCCACAGCTGCGCCAGCCACCTTACTCACCAGCCAAACTAACATACATATGTAGTATGTATTCGCTTGTGTGTCACCAAGCCGGCTAAATACTGCGATTGCAACACTGCACAGCGTGCGCCTGTCGCCCGGCAAAAACAAAACAAATAAAAAAATAAAATTTATAGGCCAATAAACAATATAAACGTTTTTGTTGCAATGTTGTTGCTAAATATTGCCAAAAAATATTCCAGCGCGTAATATTCCGCCCAAAAATCAATTGAACAGCAAGTGATCCGCGTGTTAATTAATGCTAATAAGCATTTTAATTGAAATTTTTTACTGGCATGTGAAAAAAGCGCCAAAATTATTTACTAAACTTAAATTGACATACATACAAACATAAAACTTAGAATTTTATGCAAAAAATATAAATAAATAAAAAACCGAAGTCAACACTTCGTGCTAACGAACTGGCGTTAAGTTCTCCTGCTACCGGCAACATAAATATAAATTACTAAGCCGAGCTTATTGTACATAGACTTATTCAAAAGCTTCGCTTTTCAGCTCACTTAATCTTTATCAATACGCTCGCATATGAAACGGAAAAATTTTAATTTTTAATAAAATACCATATAATAACGATTGAGCTGTGCGCCTCTTTGAGTAATAAACACCCTACATGCTTTTGCGTACATACATAGATATGTATGTCTGTATGTATGTTTTGTTCTCTCACCATGCTATATTGATTGAAATGACTCGACAATGCCGACACACTGCCGCGGATTAGCTACTGCCTACATTAACAAGTGGCAAAACGTTGTTTTGTAATTCAAACAAATCGAATTTTTAATTAGAACTTACGTTATCGCCTACAACGCGCCGTTTTATGTAAAAATATTGCAAAAACGTCGAAAGAGTTTGTGTTAATTTGACATTGATTTGGAAATTCATATTACTCCATGTGTGATTACAACAACTAAGTGCTCAGTTTTATTGTAATTTTCGTATATGCAAGCGTTCACACTCATACGTACATATATCTATATATATGCTGACAAATAAGTTTTTGTGCACGCGAAAGTTTAACGCCAACAAAACTGAGTTGGTTTTTATACGCGAAAAAGTTAATGATTTCAAAGAAACATTACAAAATGCTGCAAATTAAATAAAGAGTGTTTTTGAAGTGGCTGATAATAGAATACATAACATACATACAAAACAAATTTCCTTCGAAATTTAGTGGGAACTTTTAGAATTTTATAAGATAACTGAGAGTATGCAAGTTAAGAAGAAGCAAAAGAAACGCAATTTAGTTTTATTTTGAATATTGAATTGTACCAGTATGAAATGAGTGTTTTCGTAAAAATGAAATACTTATTTTGAATGGGAAAGTAAAAAAAAATGTATTCAAAGTATTGACCATTGCTTTTTACACATTTTGACCACACACATTTTTTTCTGACAATTTGTGGCTACCATGTCAATAGAAATATTCGTCTTTTGAAGCCAACCAATCAGACCTACTCAATTTTCAACTTCTGCGTAGGAATCGAAGTGCTGCTCAGCCAGTGCGTGTCCCAACGATGAAAACAAATACTAATCGGAAGGTGCCAAGTCTGATGAATTCGTGTAAAGAAATTACTTAGTCGTGTCTGCTGGCCCATTCTCATGGGCTCATTTTTCGAACAATGCATGGTTCAAATTGATCGTTTGTTGTCTGTAACGATTAGAATTATCAGTTTCAGCAGGTTTTAGAAGCTCATGATATACCACAATCTTCTAATCCCACCAAACACAGAGCATTGCTTTCTAACTGAATCGATCTGTTTGTGCAGTCGATGTTGATGGTTATCGCGGATTAATCCATGATTTTCTCCGTTTAGGATTCCTAAAATAAATCCATTATTCATCGCTAGTGAAAACTCGATGCAAAATTGAATTTATTTTGTGTCTTTGAAGCAAAATTTCACAAGTGTTTTCTCGGTTTTCCATTGTTCCATTTGTCTTTGATTCAATTCATGTGACAGCCATTTTCCACACTTTTCGATCTTTCCCATAGCTTTCAAACGGTCTGTTTGTTGTGCAAAATTTAACATGGCTGCCATAATTGCTTTTGACTCAAAGTATCATCTTCATCCAATGTTGCTTGCAGTTGGGCGTCTTCAAACTTTTTTTGGTGGTCTTCTACGTTCTTCATTTCTTACATCAAAATCATTATCTCTGCACTGTTGAAAACATCTTTTGTATTTTGCTTCTGATAGAGCATAATTACCATATGCCTCGACAAGCATTCGATGCGACTCTGCAGCATTTTGTCTTCAAATGAAAACAAAAATTAATGCTCTCCGCAAATCATCATTTCCCGGTACAAAATTTGACACTTTCAACACAATGAAAAAATATGATATTTGTTCAATGACTGTAAGGTTATTGAATATGTTTGACAGATGTCATGCTAACCGAACAAAAAAAAATTAAAGCTCGTTCGCAACAAATGTTCCTTACCAACACATTTGTATCGCAACGCTCACTACATACCGATACACCTGGTATTTAAACATGTCGTATAGTTTTATGCATATGTACAATATATATACATATGTATTTAGTACAAAAAGTGCTCGGCTTATTTATAAAAGTTAACAAAAATAATTGTTGTGTAGCCATAGTTCCTCTAAGAATCGGTTTCATATAATGTAGTAAGCAAAAGTACATACATACATACATATATGTATGTTCATAGGCACCTGCATTCATACGTCTATACTTGCACCTTTATCTCTGTATGACAAAAATAGCAAAATTGTGTTTGCTTGTAAAACATATTTTTACGAGCAATGCTTGTTCTATACAGTAGCAATTTCTACTAATTTTTATATATCCACTTTTTTTTCAAATAATGTAATTTATGCGCTTCTTTTGAGCAGTTTTTGAATATTCGATAATTCGAACCAGAAACATACCTATGCATGGAAGCTAAAATGAAAAATGGATAAAATAAAGTAAGAGTCCGTTAGCGTTGAAGAAATTCCTCAAAATTATTTGGTGTATAACAATATTCGTGCGGTTGGCCAAGAGTTGCCATGACTTGTTTATTATTCCATTGTTCCAATATTCGATGTCGAACTTTGTGCCTGTAAAAGTGTGTTTGCGGGGAGTTCTTTACTCATTGCTTTAATATGAAGCAAACATCAGCCGAAAGTCAACGTTTTTGGGTGGAAGCTTCTGGTGAACATGCTCTAACTTAGCGAACGTGCCAAAAGTGGTTTGCGCCATTTAAAAGTGGTGACCTTGGCCTTAAGACAAAGAACGTCCTGGCCGGCCAAAAAATAAAGAAAGCTTGAAGATGAGAAACTAGACTCATTACTAGATGAATATTGTTGTCAAACCCAAGAAGTGATCACAGAATCTTTGGGAGTCTCTGACTACGCCATTTCAAAATGTTTAAAAGCGGCCGGATACCAAAATAGACGTTGAAAGACGATTTGGCATGTCAGATATGTTGCTTAAACGCTATAAAAAGAAGTCGTTTTTGCATCTGATTACGACTGGTGATGAAAAATGGATCCATTACGACAACCCTAAACAAAAAAAAATCATACAATATGTGAAACCTACCCAACCAGCTAAACAACAAAGCCGAATCCATGACGCCCAAGGTAATGCTCTGTATTTGGTGGGATCAGAAGGGCGTGCTGTAATATGAGCTTCTAAAACCAGATGAAAACATTAATAGAGAATGCTATCGAGAACAACTTATCAAAATGATGCGAGCGATTGCCGAAAAACACGCGGAATTCGCGACTAGACATGAGGTAATCATTTTCCATCATGACAACGCTCGACCTCATGTTGCAAGACCGGTTAAATACTATTTGGAAAACAGCGGCCTTATGGCCCTGATCTTGTCTCTTCTGACTACCATTTGTTCCGGTCGAAGTAGAACGCGCTCACTGGAATACGGTTCACATCAGAAGAAGGTTTCAAAAATTGGCTTGATTAATTTTTGGCCGCCGAGCTAATACAGTTCTGGGGGTGGCATCTATAAATTGTCAGAAAAATTTGAAAATTTTATAGTTTCAGATGGGCATTACTTTAAATAATACTGTTAATAAATGTTTAAATGTTGAAAACCGAACGAATATAGTTATAGATCCAATATAAATGTGAATATTTAATAGCAGTCATGTAAAACATTTTTCTAACTCGGAATTCTCATATTCATTATACCCTGAACAGGGTTTATTAAATTTGCCACGAAGTTTGTAACACCCAGAAGGAAACGTCGGAGACCCTATAAAATATATATATAAATGATCAGCATGATGAGCTGAGTTGATTGAACCATGTCCGTCTGTCTGTATATATACAAACTAGTCCCTAAGTTTTTAAGCTATCGATCTGAAATTTTGTCCTTTTCTCACAAAGAAGCTGCTCATTTGTCGGAATGACCTATATCGAACCACTATAGCATATAGCTGCCATACAAACTGAACAATCGGAATCAAGTGTTTGTATAGGAAACTCTTTCATTTGTCGAGGTATCTTCACGAAATTTGGCATGTATTATTATTTAAGGCATTAATCCAATATCCGAAAAATTGTATAGATCGGATGACTATAGCATATAGCTGCCATACAACGTGAACAATCGGAATCTAGTGCTTGTATGGGAAACTCTTTCATTTGACGAGGTATCTTCACGAAATTTGGCACGAGTTCTTGCTTAAGGCAACAAATTATTCTCCGCAGAAATTGGTCAGATCAGATCACTATATCATATAGCTGCCATACAAATTGAACGTTCGGAATCAAGTTCATGTAAGGGGCCTTTGTATTTGTAAAGGGTATTATAGCGTCGGTGCAACCGAAGTTAACTTTTTCTTGTTTTGTGATTATATAAAAACAAAATAGTATATACTTATGTATGTATGTACATATGTATATTACAGTAGCTGGCACTGACCGCATAAACCATTTGCATTACTCAGCTTTCGTTTCCTTTAAAATATCTTAGTATCGAATAAGAACTTACTGTAATTATACCCGATTACTTTAGTATGAGCTCCATCCATTTAGTAAACGATTTGCCTGATTAACTCCACACTTGAAGTAAAGTATTAGGTTAGCCTAAAGTCTCAAAGGAGGCTTCTCTTGAACTTTTACTCTGGGCGTTGGATTTCTTTCTTTCACACTTTATTGAGCATTTATAAAATAATTTTGTATTGAATTTTGATACAAAGTGTTTCGGCTACCGGGCCTATCTCTGGAAAACCTTTATAGCACTCTACTGCAATGTTGATGTTTTAAGTATTTTACCAAAAATGCTTTTGCATTGCAAAGTGTATTTTAAGCGAAAAAAATTAAAATTTTTTTAACATCATAGACTGGTCTAACCCCTTAAGCATAGCTCTAAAACTTAATAATAAATAGATCTGCAATAATCAAAAGACTTCATTAATCGTCCAAAATGGAGTGATCGTAATATATGTATGTATGTTTTCAATTCCATGCATGTTTTCAATTCCAATATTCACAAAATACATCTCCCAGTTTTTTACACCATAGAAAGATTCATGCGTGTATTCATTTTTTTTTATTAGCTTTTCGAAAATATTTTATTGGAAAATAGTAGTTTTCGAATCACCTCTCTATAAAATTTGCAGCATTACTCTTGAAAAATACCGAGCTATAAATTCACAAACATAAACACACACAAATACGTGATTTGCTCTCACAAGAAACATTATAAGTGTATTTCAAAATAGCATTTTATGATGCTTTAATTAAAAACATATACAGCTTAGCGCCGCAGTGCCCTTAATTAATCAAGTAAAAGCAAAAACAATTTAGCTCACAGCAAAATCGCAAGCATAGCGAATCTAGAGCTAGCGCGAAAATAAACCTATACATATACATAAGTGTACGCATACAAAGATCTGTCGTTTTTGGGGATCACAACAATTTTGTGCCTTCAAAAATGTTCGCCACCATACGGCATCTGTTTGGTGGTGTCGTCGCCGCTGCCCAAGCGGACCCACTAACACATGTCTCCGAACAACAACATGTGCCGTCAACGAAAAAACCAACAAAAATGTCGAAAAAATTGCGACAACAGCAGCAACTCGAACAAATGCAACAAATGCTATTGCTCGACACTGAAACCTATTCCAATTTGCGTTATGAGCGCACCAAACTCAGTCACAGCAGCCTGCTGTTGCATCAGATCGCACAAGACAGCAGAACGGATGAGTGTAACGGTACGCTCGACACAATCGTACCACTAACATTTGCCTCGGCCGCAACACCGATAATATTGCCTAGTGGTTATCGCGGCACTACGCCTGCTGATAAGCAACAAAACCCAAACGTATCAGCTGGAACGCGTGCGCTTTTCGGAACGACACCGTCACCCTCACCGCCGCCTCCGCTGCAGTTGCCGCTACCAACGTCAACGCGACACACGCATTCATCGCCGTCACCATCTATAACGGGCGGCGTGCCACCTGCCCTGAGTGGTGGTGGTTATTCTACGCATTTGCCACACGATTACAGTTTCTGTGATTCGTGTCGTCCGTTGCGTTTTCAAAATTCGCTCATAAAATCCGGTAGTCCTAGTTCAGTGTCGCAAAAAAGTTATAGTACGACTTCAGCGCGTTATCTCAATTTAAATTCGAATTCGTCGAGTAATCGTTTCAATTCGCTGCCGCCGTCGTCGATCGTGACACCAACACCGCCGCCGCTACCACCACAAACACAACAACAACAATCGTCAACACAGCCAGCGTCATCGTTTCGCACCTTTTATCCTTTCTCTCGTTTACAGCCACGACGCACGAACAGCGCCAGCATGTCACAATCCGGAGACGATCTACACTCGCCCAGCTATCTGTCCTGGCGCAAGCTGCAGCTGAGTCGCGCCAAACTAAAGGCGTCCAGCAAGACGTCGGCATTGCTTTCCGGTTTTGCCATGGTGAGTATGAAATGCCGTTACAAATAACTGTAGTAACCCTTTTTTTTTTGAGGTAACTAAATTGTAGTTTTGAGGTTTTTGTTTGATTTCTCGTGCGCTCATCTATTTTAACTCTAGTTCAGGTAGTGAGTTTCATTTATCTAGCTCCCATAATGTACTGCATGTCCGCCTTACGCACATACAACCAACAAAAGTATCTGTGTGTCTAACACATTCCTATAAAGTCACAAGCACTAGAAACCTTGAACCCTTTGTACAGATAATAAATTCTCCCAAGTCGCTTGATATTTTTAGTTCCCAATACTGGGAACATACATACATTTGTACACTAAGCAAGCACAACATTTTCACCCATCCTCTGCCTTTGCAATTTAAAAGATTCGTGCAATCGTACTTTCATCTATAAAACGAAATTAAACGCAAAAAACAAAAAAAAAAAAAATCAGCAAGTACAATTTCTTAGTTGTTCATTATTTGCACTTGTACCCGCCGCAACATTCTTTTCAATTAATTTTATAGAAACCACTTCCTGTCCCTCAAAGTACTACAGCCGCGTCCACCTGGTTCCCATTCAGTCATGCTGCGATTTCATGAGACTTCTCTCACATTTGCATTGCTTCTACGTTCGTTTGTTATTCTTAGTGTTGGCAGTGCAACGCTCATTAATTTGGCCTTTTCATGTGCAGCCAGTCAGAAAGTAATGTTAGCATTCAATATCTATGCCATTACTGAGTACATAAATGTTTCCCCACATTCAAAGCTGTCTAATGACTAACTGAACACCTGATTGACACAATTTATTTATTTAAGTATATTATTGAATTTGACACAGTTCACCGTTAGTTGCCTACATACGAGTACATACATACATAATTTTATATATTATTAAATTAGCTTCAAGTGGCTGTTGTTAATAAATATAATAAATACTCAATTGTCATTTCTTTAAAACGTCAAAAATATAGTAGAGACTACAGCTGTCAATAACTCGCAAGTCATATAGGCAATTTTTTTCTTCAAATTGTGTTATATTATAATTGCATACCTACATATTATTAACTTGAAGCCTTCCCGGTTTTATTAGGTTACGTTGAAAAGTCCCTGTTTACATAGCATCATGATTCTTTAAAATCTTTCAATAACTTTTTTTTACATATAAAAAATTAAATATATTATTCAAACTTTTTATTATTCCAAGGATACATATTTTACAAAGATTTTGTGAAAATTTCAAAAGAAAATATTTAAACTCGTCCATTGCGACGTCATGCAAGCGCTTAGAAAAATGACGCCTCCGCGTTGATAGCTGAACTTCTTACAGAATCATAAGAAGTAAAATAAAAAATATACGTGTTTCATTTGAGACCATAAATTGGATGATGAAAAAAAGCGAAACTTGTATTTTTAGCAGATGTTTATACAAAAAAAAGAATTGCACAATTTTGTGAAAATTTTTCGATATTTTCATTTTAATAGTTATAATTGCAAAAATTAAAATATTTCGCTACGAAAACGTCGCGGAAAACAATAATTATTAATTCAAATAAGAATAAGATTAATAAATTCAAATATTTCCGCAATTTAAGTTGACTTGTTGATTTGGTATTACAAATTTATTGATTTCTGCTTCCTCCACCTAGAATAAGTTTCATTATACAGATACTCTTTAGTTAAAAGTAATAATAAAAAGTAAAAGAAATATCTCTATAAACGTTTATTGTACACATCTAAACAATTAGCCATGTCCTTCCGTCTGTATATACCCGAACTAGTCTCCCAGTTTTTGAAGCAGCTCATTTGGGGGAACCGCCGATATTGAGCTACTATTGCGTATAGCTGCCATACAAACTGAACGATCGTAATCAAGTCTTTGTATGGAAACCTTTTTTATTTCTCGAGATATCTTCACGAAATTTGGCATGGATTATTGCCCAGGGCGAACCACTGTAGCATATAGCTGCCATACAAACTTATCAATCAAAATTAAATCCCTTTATGGAAAATTTTTTTATTTCACATGATATCTTTACGATCGCACGCCTTGAGTATTTTCTAAAGCAGCGCGACAATCTCCAAATATATTGTTCAGATCGGACTACTTAGGCGTATAGCTGCCCTACAAACTGACCGATCTAAATCAACTTCTTGTATGGAAACTTTTTTATGTGTGAAGGTATTATAGCTTCTGTGCAACCGAAGTTAACGTTTTTTCTTGACTTTTGTAATACTTTTGACGTGACTGTAACTGTCGTTACTGGATTATAAATCTGTAGACTGTGGCTTTTAAAAGAGACACCTTTTTTGTCTATACAAGTAGACCAACGATTAATTCTTATAGGCCTGGTCTTGGTACGATTCTGGCGCTCATTTGTTCAAAATCAAAACATCAATCAGATTCCATTAAATCCTATAGGATACTGGTTAGTCTTCACTACCCTGCTAATATAAACATTACGATTTTTTGCCACAATTTTTGTAATGTTGACATCGTTAACCGAACTTAAGGTCTTCAGTGTAAAGCACTCAGTCATTCATATTGTTGTTGCTTTGAAGAATTCAAATATTTTCAACATAATACAAAACGCATGTGAAATACATAAATCTATATAAAATATATTGTAGTTGAAAGTTAAAGTTAACAGGTCAACAGGTCAACACAATCGATCTCATGCTTCAGCCAATTAAATTCAATTAATCAATTTTACTTGTAATTTTAGTATAAACACATACAAATGTAGAACTATTCATATTGTTTTACATATTTTTATACACATATGCTCAATCTACTTATTATTTACAGGTCGCAATGGTTGAGGTCCAATTGGATAGTAGCACCAAAGTGCCTGCCGGTATGCTTGTCGCCTTCGCCATCTGTACCACACTGCTTGTGGCAGTTCATATGTTGGCGCTTATGATCAGTACTTGTATTTTACCAAATATTGAAACTGTTTGCAATTTGCATAGCATCTCGTTGGTACACGAATCACCGCATGAACGCCTACATTGGTACATTGAAACAGCGTGGGCCTTCTCCACGCTGCTCGGACTGATACTCTTCCTACTCGAGATAGCAATACTTTGTTGGGTGAAATTTTATGATTTAAGTCAACCAGCCGCTTGGTCGGCATGCATCGTACTTATACCGGTAATGATAGTCTTCCTAGCGTTTGCAATACATTTCTATCGTTCGCTTGTTACACATAAATACGAAGTTACCGTTTCGGGTATACGCGAGCTCGAGATATTGAAGGAACAAATGGAACAGGATCACATTGATACGCATCACCATCATTTGCATCGTAATAATGGTTTACACTATGGCGCCAGTGGTGAAATAGTTTAAACGTCATGCTTGACGGAAGTCCCTAACCATGTTACTATGGTGAAAGCTTGTTATTAATCGGGAATATACTTTTTGCTAATATACACCGGAGAAGAGACATTTGTATGCGACCTCATACATTTAGGCGATAAAGTTTTTATATGCTACTTTTTACACGTATATAGACATTGATAACGAATAACAAATAAAAATAAATTATATATATATATATTTTTATGTAGGTTAGTCATTTGTTATTTGTATGTACACGAAAACTTAATTGAATTGAATTCTCAAAGAATTCAAATACAATTGTGATATTGGTAAATGCGTTTTAATTTCAATTGTGAAATGCATTTTGGCATATCTTGTTTTTATTTAGCGCTTAATTTTTAATATTATAATAATACATATATAAATTTCTATAATTGAAATCTGTTTATATAAGCCTTAAAGTAAGCGTTGTTAAAGAAATACTTTGTGCACATGTAAATTAATGTGTGGCCAAGCTACGCAAAGTTTAATTGTAATTAAATTTTATTTACCAGCAATATTGTAGACTTACACTGTGAAAAGTGTCACTGGCAGTTGACGGTGTGCAGCGCCAACAATGCCACATAGATGCAGTGCAAATATGTGAAATTTGAACATGTTCTTCATTCAACTGCATATCAACTGAAAATTATTATTTCACATTATCCGTCAAACTACCTTAATTTACTTAATTTTTAATATATTACTTTTAACATAGATTTAAGCAATTGTAATTAAAAGATATAACTTGAAAAAGATAACCAATAGTAATTAATTTGACAGCGGAACAAAATTAAAAAATATTTTTATAAAATAAAGTTTGCTAAAACAAAAAAAAAATAATAATTTACTTCGGTTACACCGAAGCCATAACACCCTCCACAAATAAAAAAGTTTCCATACAAGAACTTAATTTTAATAGGTCAGTTTGTATGGCAGTCATATGCTATGTATATTGGTCCGACCTAACGATTTCTTCGGAGCTTGTACCGTTGCATTGGACAATAAATCATGCCAAATTTCGTGAAGATATCTTGTCAAATGAAAAGGTCTTGCATACAAGCATCAGATTTTGATCGTTCAGTTTGTATGACAACTATATGCTATAGTGGTCTGATAACGACAGTTTCAACAAATAATCAGTTTATTGGAGAGAAAAGGCAGATTGCAAAGTTTCGGATCGATATCTCAAAATCTGAGAGAACAGTTCGCGTATATACAAATAGACGAACTTGCCAAGTTCATCACGCTGATCACATATATATATATATATATATATATTTATTTTACGTGGTTACAATTTTCGTGACAAACTGAATTTTATCTGTTCAGTATATAAAAATAGCTCCACATCTACCATATATTAAATCAACGACTGTCATTCAGACAGCTTTCCTTAAAAATCGTTTGCGAATAGTTAAGAAATCCGAAGTAAACCTTCCTTGTCGGACCTTTGTACATCTAAGCATCTCTAAGAAAGGCCTTGAATTATCTAACTAGCCATCAATTCGTAAAGTTAAGTTATATATACTGGCATACGTAGAATATTCGTGTGCTCACTGTATTTGGTTGAATTAGATAACTTTTTTTTTGTTGCTTTGGCGTCTAAATATATTCTTACGAAAATGGTTTTTGTAACCTATTTAATTCTTTTCACTTGTATAAAGGTGTGATTTGAAAATTCATTTCAAATGTGTGATTGCTATTTAACCATCAATAGAGAATGTAGATTATATATATTATTATAATTACATTCTCTGCATCAAGTTCTTGCGCCTAAAACTATGCACCGTATATTATTAGTAATGGGTAGCACTTGATCATTTTCTCATTCTCTCTTCGCAGCATTCATTTTAATGACACCCTTCTTAGCACAACTTGGCCGCACTAGACGTGCACGAACAAATGCATAAATATGAAAATTCACTGCAACCAATCGGACAGTCATTTTTGACACTTGCCAAGAAAAGGTTAAAAGTCTACAAGTTTTGTGCGTTACTTTCGCAAAACCAGTTTTTAAAACAAAGCTTAACAGAGCTAACGAATCAATTTTCCACTTTTTTTCAAGTGAATATAAGTTGCAACCATTTCGTTTAAAAATGCCATCTAACATGAATAATAAACTGTAAGTAATAAATAAGAATAAAGTGGCAGTGAATGCGAATTATAAAATTTCCAACAAGAAAAATCAATGTAGTGCAATAGAAAATTAAGTCAATAGGAACGAAGTAATTTCAGTGATTGCAATGCTATTTAATCTCGTTCCAAAAATGATGGCAAAAATTAAAATGGTTGTATTTTTTGTCAAAGATTTTGTGATGTAGTAGTGTTGAGTGATGAAATCAGGTTTAAATTATCTAACTGGTTCCCTGTAGTGCTATGAAGGACTACCGTTTATTGCTGTGGTTGTTTTGGTCAGAAAACAATACCGTTATGTATTTATAAATTATAAACCGCAAAGTAATTGAAGATCTTTTGTCCCTTCCCCATCCCCAGGCACGTGTTCTTTGGTTATATTTCACGTGCGAATAGTATTTGTATATGATTGCAAATAAGTGGAGGTCGTGCGTAAGTAAAGTAAACGAAAGAATATACATATGAATTTCAAATTAACGCTGCTTTAGCGTTGTTTTTTGAAATTTTTATTTCTTTACTTTATTATTACTAAACTTATTATACATATCTGTATGTATGTGTGGCTCTGTATGTGCCCAATTATCACAGTCATTACGTGTCGTATCGTTCGTTGTGTTTTCTATGTTTTTGTTTCTATTGCAATGTTTATTTCTTTCGTTCGTTTTCCACAGGCTTCGTTGGGCCACCATTTCATTTCACGAGCACATATATTCACACATAGTATGCGTACAGACAATTCAAATACATATACATATGTAGTATGCATGTAAATATATTACCCGAGTTATTGGTTCGTACGAGTTCATGCATATAGTATGTAGTATTTGTATATATACAACTTATCTATATATGTTATATGCGACCAAACGGTTTTTGAACAATCATTTATCTGCGTCCATATATATGTTCTCCTTTGTGCTACTCGATGGAGCTTTTTCTTTATCATCTTTCTGTGTTAATTTGTGAGGTTATGTCAAGAAGTTGAAGATAAATTTACATACTTATGTCCATATCTACATATTATATATTTACTTATCATTTTTAATCAGAATTGTCTGGATTTTTACGAATTACTTTTTCGTTATAAGTAGTTGTTTGCTTCTAATTTGTTTTGAGGTCTCTTATTTTCACAGCAGAAAAGATACATACATACATATGTATGTATGTACACAAAAGGCTAAATTTATAAAATGAAATCACTAATTTCGGAAATGAAGTGTCCTAACTTCTTGCAAATATCTAACTGAAGGAACCAAATGTACAATGAAAGAGTATGGTGCCGGATCAAAATGTATTTATGTACATATGTACATATATGTAATCGAAATTGTGTCTTTTTAAAAAAACCTATAAAATAGTTTTCTGTTCTGATGCCTTCACTTGACCATACATACATATGAAAGTATATACATACATATTGTAAGTAAGTTTATTTGCCTCTGTTCCAGTTGCATAAACAAGAGTTGTGTGCAGCAGACGAATTCGCTCGGCTTTCAATTGCTGTCGTGATGTTGAAAAGTTAATCAAAACTAAACATTTTCGATATTAAGCGTATCTGAATATTTAATTTAATTAAACACATGCATAGATATGTACACATTTATATACATACATATATACGTAAATGGTTTAAGTTCTACTTTTGATGTTTGTCAACTATTGAAGGGAACTAAAAGTTTAAGGCAATCAAGAAATGGATCATATTTTTTATGAGAATCTTTTTATACCCTGTACAAGGTGTATAAAGTTTGCCGCGATTATTTGTTTGTAAAAGCAAAAGTCGTAGATTCTATAAGATATAAGTATATGTACATGCATACATATCTACATATGTAACTGATCAGCATGACTAGCTGAGTCTATTATCCTTGTCCATCTGCCTGTATATACCTGAATTAGATCTTCATTTTTGAGTTATCCAATCTGAAATTTTGCAAACGTCCTTTTCTCCACAAAAAGCTGCTCATTTATTGAAACAGCCATAAACTGTAGGGAGTGTTGAGCTCTATATTTGAGAGGTTTTTGAAGGTTTCGTTTTTTATATTAATTTGAAAATTTAACTTTGAGCCAGCTGTTCTTTTAAGAGCAGTTGACAATCCAGTCGGGTCCGTTTCGGTTACGTAGACCCGACTGTCCTGGGAGTTCTCCGACGATTGCGGAATGATGATGTGGAAAACCGCCTATTTCCTTGAAAAAAAAATGAAAGAAAATTATTTCCATTATTATTGTTTTTTTTTTTTAAACCAAACCCCGAAACCAGGGCGTACCGAAAGATATCACGCGTTCTCGATATCAACTAACTGTTTTTATCGTTTATAATTGAGGTAGTGATATATACTCTACTGTTTTCAATTTCTTACACTTGGAAGGTGATTTCGAATATTAAATATAATTTAAATTATTTTTATTGTCTAACAAACATGGGTAATGTATAATGTTGATTTTTAATATACATTCGTATGTACATACATATTTATATGCAATTTGTTATAACGTAATTTAAGGTAGGTACTTTGAACTATTTTTTATACATACGTAAATGCATTTTCATACCTACATATGCATCTATTTATTGGTAAGAAGTATTCATATTCATTTTCTTATGTTCACACATTCCTACATGTAAAAACAATATTGTACATACATAAATAGCTTTTAAATGACTGGTGGCACGATTAAGGCTTTCTAGAAAATTTCAAAAGTCAACAAGATATCTGAGAAACACTGCGGACGTGACTTATAAAAGTATTAAATACATACATAAAATAATTTTATTCATTGTATGAACATAGTATATAAACGCACTCTATGACTTTATCTTTACCTACTTAGAGGTGTAAACATTTACACTGCTGTTATAAATTTAAAACAAACTCTACTTAAAATTTGCTGCAGATGCATTGGTTGTTTCCATAAATAACTAACTAGCTTAGGTAAATTTCGGAATAACTGTACATAGTATGTAAGTTGCAATTGTTTATTCAATGTCTCTATATTTTTGTATAAAGTACTTTATAAATAGCTTTATATTTACATAAATATATATTTATTTACTTACATATATGCGTGTATATTTATATAAGGGCCAAGTGCTTTATTTCGTAAATTCTTGAAACTAAAACTTGAGTATTTAATCACTCTTGTCATGAAAACAATGCAGTTTCTTCATACTTGTAGTCCAAAGCTTTGAATAGTATTTTCTTTTTTTCATTTGTTAATAAACTTTTTCTAGAATGATTTACGTTTCGTTAAATTTTTTTAAATTCTCATTGCATTTGCCTCTATCAAGCATTATTTGCTTCCCCTTTTGTCCACAATTTTGTTGTGTGCCAGTGGAAATTTCCACGATCCGATTAAGGTGAATTAAAGAACAGCAAGGAATTGCGCCGTAGTTTCTACGGTGTACATACTACTTACATATGTACATATACTTAAGTAAATTAGTATTCGATAAATGAAATTAACGTTTGAAATAGTAATGCAACAAACATTTGTATATTGTTCTTTATGACAGTTTAGTAGTTAATAGGTTATGTGTATTAATATTTTTGAAAAATCATGGCTACCACTTTCAATAAATAAAATGTTTATCTGCAGTTTTTAAACTGATTAGCAATAAATTTAG